GGCAATGGCTCTGAATAAATTTTATCAGCCAGTGTGGCTGGTGGTTTGGGCATTGGACTAAAACTTCAGGAGACCAGGCTTTGAATCCTGATTGCTTGGCCATGGAAACCCATTGGGTCCCACAGGGGAGGGTGATGGCAAATGTTCCCTAAAGAACTTTTGCCAAGAAGTATGATTTGAGCCAATGCATTGTTGTGGGTTGTAAAGTGTTGGCCTTGGGCCCTGAGAGTCCATGGTTTGTATTTCCCACTCAACCATGGAGCCTTATTTGGTGTCCTTGGACAAGCCATCCTCTCTTAGGAAAGCAAGGGCAACCCTTCTCTGCACAAATCTTAGCAAGAAATCACTGTTTATTGTTTATCGTATCAGGAGCGAACCAAAGGTACAGTTGCAATGTATTTTAAAAGAACAACAAAGTTTAAAAGCTTGGCATTCTATTAAATGTCCTTTGACCAGTATCTGGACACTTGGAGTGCCTCTGGTGTTGCTACAAGAAGGTTCTCCATTGTGCATGTGGCAGGGCTCAAACTGCATTGTAATAGGTGGTCTTTGGTTTGCTCTTCTCCACACTCACATGTTGTGGACTCCACTTTGTGGTCCCATTTCTTAAGGTTGGCTCTGCATCTTGTGGTGCCAGAGCGTAGTCTGTCCAGCACCTTCCAAGTCACCCAGTCTTCTGTGTGCCCAGGAAGGAGTCTCTCAGCCGCCCTGAGTCCTCCCTAGGGGGTTGAGAAGGGCGGGGTAGAAGCACCCCAAGTAATAAATAAATAAATAAATAAATAAATAAAAATATCAGCCATGGCTTGAGGTTCTGGGTTTTAGCCTGCCACTTTTGGACTTTCTCTTGCTGAGGTGTTCCTGCGAGTATCTCCGTAGATCTTAGAAAACCATTTCTTGATTTGAGGCATTGGCATACTGGCTGATATCTGAACAGGGGATGGGGCGGAGATGTCAATGCCTTGGTCCTTTCACTATTGTCTGTTACTACCGTTAACTTGATGGCACCTCCCAACAAGGTTGCAGTATGTTGGCTGGGTCCAGAAGAAAAAAAAACCAGAGGCTTTACAACTCCACTGAAGGTAGTGGTTGCCAGGGTTCACTGCCCTTCCCTGATTCCCTTCCAGCTTGTCTCGATTGTTTTCTCAAGTGCTGCTCTTGAGACTGGATGCACTGCTTCAGATGAGGTCTGCCTGATGCAGAACAGAGTAGACGGGTGAATCTGTATGGCATTTTCCTCTGTTGTGTGACAGAGAGTCTCCATGGGGCTTGACCAGAACCTTTGTTTGGCTCAGCGATGCCAGGGACGGGACCTGTTTCTTCTGCCGGCCAAGCAGCGGTTCTCCCGCTGGACCCAATGCCAAGCAGTGATCCCTTTGGCCAACTGCCTTTGACACGTTGTGCTTGGGGAGATGTTTCTCAGTCTCCGCAGCCTGTATCTCTTCTCATGAAAGCTCAACATGTCCTTTATTGCTGAAATTCCATCTGTCAGCCCTGGTGTGATGCGGTGTTCGTTTTCCCCCTCCTTTCTCTATAAAATGACCTTAATTCTTTCCTGACGGAAAATGACTTCACTGCACTAAATCCTCCAGACGTGCTTTCGCTGACCTCCAGTGATCATGCTTTCGGAAACAGAAGGAAGCCGTTGAGAAAACGGTTATAAAATATTCTTCCTTTGTTGACTGCAGAAATTGTGGTCCCCCCACACCCCGACCTGCTTTTCTGATTTGTGTTATTATATTTAGCATAGATCATCTCCTGAAAGACACGGAAGGCGTTTTCTATTTCGGTTCCGCGTCACCGTATTTAAAGTTTCTTCAGAATGTGTTGCCGTTTTTAAAACTGCTTTATTCATGCATTTTTGTGCCACTTGCCAGGCTGAAGGAAGGCTCGCAAGGCAGTTTATGAAACAAAACACTCTCCATTAACAAATATTAAAATCAAGCTTTCGAAGCACAGCTGGACAAGCTTTGGCTCTCCAGATAGATCCAACTAAAACTTCCATAATCCTTTATCATTGGTTGGGGTTGCTGGGAGTGAAAGTCCAAACATCTGTTGGGTGAAAAGCTCCCCATCTCTGTTTCAAAATCAAAAGGAGCAGAGCTGGAGCATTTGAAAGCCATTACAATGTCAGAGAGAAAAGGAAAGTTTACACTGCCCATGTCGACACACACCATCCAAGATTAGTCCACTGTGTGAGGGAGATTAATTGGAATCAGGCGCATTATTTTCAACCATTAAGGGATTCTCTACCTATTCAAAGGCATGCATTGAAGTGACTCATTTTAAAGGAGGTATTGTGTTACTAACGTGTTATTTAAAAACACTTGGAATATGAAAGTGACTGCAAATCCTTCCAAATGATCCCTCCACTCTTGGGAATAATGCAGCATAACGTTATACATGGAAAAGGAAGGCTGTGGCCTGTAATCATGACATTTATTTTAAATGGCAGCCTTAGCACTGTTGTTGTGCTATTAGATGCCTTCAGGTCGACTCATAGTTGCACTACGAAGGAGAGACCTGGAGCCTGAAACAGGACTTGCAAATTCGGGGCTGTTGCTCCTTTGAGGAAGTCTGACTCCCAAGTGTGGCCTTCATCCTTTTTCGCTAAACGCTCCTGTTCCTAGGCAGGGTTGTCTTTTTCCAACGTTGAGGTGACAGCAAATCATGAAGCCACACAATTGATCTGTGTGGACTAATTTGTGTGCCTCAGCGACTGGCTCATTAGATCCATTTTAATGTTTGATTGTCATTTGCTGTTGTCAGCTATGACTTCTGGTGGCTCGACAAAGAAGAGCCCACCCCAAGCCACCGGCCATCCCCTGCCTTGCTGAGGTCTTACAAGGGCTTACTTCGCTGGTTGTAGGTGGGACTTGTTGTGTGCTTCCAACTTAGGTGGGCCCTCAATTTCTTCAGAGTGGGGTGGCCTTTGCCTCCTCTGAGATTTAGGTTGAATTCTGAATGTCTTCCTAGTATGGTATAACTTTCATCAGCAGTCTCCACAGAATAGGTAGCTGGCCTGGTATAACTTTTGGCCAGCTACTTATTCTGTGGAGACTGCTGATGAAAACTGTCCTTAAAGCAGCAGCCAGAAATCCTGGGTCACACCCTTGGGATTCGTAGCATTGCATTACCTGCATGTATCTTAGAAAGGCAGGCATTTTTAGTAGCGCAGTGACTGGTAGGAACTGCAATCTAATTTACTCAATTGAATGCAGAAGTCCAGGATGTCATCTTCAATACATGGGAGCAAGGGTTGGAACAACCACAGACTGTCTGCCATTCTGAGCCGGGAGCTTGAGCAACTAGTGACTAGACRCAAAGCACAACATCAGCACTTCTCAACCTAGATGTTGGGACCCATGGTGGAGGGGGGTTGTGAGGGGGTTTCAGAGGGGTCACCAAAAACAATCAGAAAAACACATATTTCTGATGATTTTAGGAACCCCTTTGGCAAAGAAGGCTGAAGATCTCCCCCTCCCCGCCCCCCGTCCTTCTTTTCATTTTTGGAAACAGATGGTTAATTCTCCCACCAAAAGCCCTCCTGTGCTGTGATTGGCCAGCCTCTCAACCAAGGGGAGGGCTGTTTCTGAGACTCCAAGCAGGGAAGGGAGAGCGGTTGTGCTCTGCGCATGGCAGTGTTGTGCGCATGTGCATGCGAAGGAGAGTGTGCAAGGTTGGAGGGAGGCTCGTGCTAGCGAATCCCTTCAAGGTATGGGGGTTCTGTGTGGGATAAAAATGATGTAAATAAATAAAAATAAATAAATTTAGCCCAATTCTGTCATAGATGGGGTTCAGAATGTTCCTTGATTGTAGGTGAACTATAAATTCCAGCAACTACAACTCCCAAATGTCAAGGTCTATTTTCCCCAAACCCCACCAGTGTTCACATTTGGGCATGTTGAGTATTTGTGCCAAGTTTGGTCCAGATCTATCATTATTTGAGTCCACAGTCCTCTCTGGATGTAGGTGAACTACAACTCAACTCAAGGTCAAACCCATCAAACCCTTGCAGTATTTTCTGTTGGTCATGGGAGTTCTGTGTGCCAAGTTTGGTTCAATTCCATCCTTGGTGGAGTTCAGAATGCTCTTTGATTGTAGGTGAACTATAAATCTCAGCAACTACAACTTCCAAATGACAAAATCAAATCCCCCCCAACCCCACCAGTATTTAAATTTGGGCGTACCAGGTATTTGTGCCAAATTTTGGTCCAGTAAATGAAAATGCATCCTGCATATCAGATATTTACATTAAGATTCAAAATAGTACAAAATTATAGTTATCAAATAGCAACTAAAATAATTTTATGGTTGGGGGTCACTACAACATGAGAAATTGCATTAAGAGGTCATGGCATTAGGAAGGTTGAGAAACACTGCACTACAGGGTTTCTCATCTGACTAGGTTTGGAATGGAAGCGCCACTTCTTTCAAGTCCTTTGGATGTATGGGAGGATATCTGGAACCAGAGACTTCAGGCCTTTTCAATGTAAGGTCTGGAGAAGAGAGGTGTGGCCCTGAGATCTGGGAACTCTAGTGAAACTGGTCTGGGGATAGAACTGGTACTAATAAAGACACTCTAACATTTTGAAGCTCGAAAAGGTGGGGTAGAAAGGTTCCTAATAAATATATGCTGCATGCTTGTTCTGAATATGACCAAAGAAGTCATCCACTTGACATGATAAAGATCTCCAAAGAGATGCCTGAAGTCTTGCTGAACTGGTTTTGAAGTCCGAAGAGCAAGAGGATGGGGTTAGGGGACATTCTCCCAGGGCAGAAAAGGGTTGATGCAAACAAAACCCCAGCGTGAAAGGGAAATTCTCCTGCTATCCTTGTGTCACGTATTGATTTCACCCAGACCCAGAGGACTAATGTGTGTGTTTGGCTGGGAAGTGTAACCTCCTAGTAGGATGTGAAAAATGTGCATGAAAGATGTGACCAATAATGCATTGACCTCTCTTGGCCTTCCTTGTCTACCTCCCTGCCCCTTTGCCCCATAGCACCTGGAGCAAGAGAAGCATGAACTGCGGCGGCGGTTTGAGAACAAAGAAGGGGAATGGGAAGGAAGGGTCTCAGAGCTGGAGAGTGATGTGAAGCAGCTCCAGGGCGAACTGGAGAAGCAGCAGGTCCACCTCCGAGAAGCCGACCGTGAGAAGACCCGGGCAGTCCAGGAACTATCGGAACAGAACCAAAGACTCCTGGATCAGCTCAACAGGGTGAGTGGTGAGGTGGCTGTTGAGGCAGCTCTTCCCAGTTTTTCCCCCTGCATCCCTTTATCTGAAACCACTTCTTTGGCTGAGCTACTGCTGTGGGAATTTCGCTTGTGTTGATCTCTGTCAGGCCCTCATGATGAGATGATAGAAATCTGGACTCAAATCCTATTGTGAATCCCAACTCGGAGATCAAGGGTAGGCAAGAGGCACATTTCCCCCTCAGCCTCTACACCAGTACTCCCTGATACCTCTATTTTTCATCTCAAGCCCTTCCCAATATGGTGACCAGAAGTGTTGTCTCATCACTTCCAGTTGCTATTTTGTGAAAGATTGTAAAAATAGGGACTGTGTGGGCTTTCTCTATGGTTTTGAGGGCAAAAATGCCCCTCAATCATGTCAACTTTTTAAATAGGGGGTTGGAGGGATTTGGGGGCTGACTTTGCTCACTCATGAAGTATATCCATTTGGATTTGCCTATATGTTGATTGGACCCCCGGTGGCACAGTGGGTTAAACCGCTGAGCTGCTCAACTTGCTGACCGAAAGGTCGCTAGTTCAAATCCAGGGAGTGGGATGAGCTTACGTTGTTAGTCCCAGCTTCTGCCAATCTAGCAGTTCGAAAAAATGCAAATGTGAGTAGATCAATAGGTACCACTCCGACAGGAAGATAATGGCACTCCATGCAGTCATGCTGGCCACATGACCTTGAAGGTGTCTACGGACAACACCGGCTCTTCGGCTTAGAAATGAAGATGAGCACCAACCCCCAGAGTCTGGTACAACTGGATTTAGTGTCAGGGGAAAACCTTTACTTTTATATGTTGATTGATTTGTGAGCAACTGCTTCAAAAATCTCCTCTAATGAAGACAATCAGAATCAGGCCCTTTAGACCACATCTGAGGATTTGACTAAATTACACCTGGCATTGGTTGCCCCGGCAGGCATTTCTTTTCAAGATTCTCAGCAAAGATGTAGTTCTCTTGTATCTTGTTTGTTTCTTGCTTTCCCAAGGAGCTGGGATAGCAGCCTGGGACAGAGCTTGGAAAGTTACTTTGTGATGTGTGCGTCCTGACTGTCATGCCTTGAAAAGGGATTTGTTGCAATGACTCGGAACACGGTGTCACAATCAGTGCTATGCTCTGTGACTCACTGCTTTGTTTTTTCATATTTGTCATGAACTTCCCTGACCTAAATGCAGGACTGATAACGGAAGGGTATAAAGCTTGAGAAAAGTATTGTCAAAAGAATTTGAAAATTGCAGTTGTATAGGGGCAAGCAGTGTGTTGCTTCTGGGAGAATTCCTGCAAATTCTTAGTAGGAGGCAGAAGGTGAGGAGCAGGGAAATAGGAAGAGGAAGACACAAAACCGTGCATATGTGTGCCTTTTCTATCCTCACCCTGTGATAATCCAGTTTTAGCTTTGGTTTCATTTCTAAAACGAGAAAAGAAGTGTGTAGAAGGGCTGCTTCCCAATCCGCAAATAGTTGGAGCATGCTGTATTGATTTGGTAACAAAAGGCTTCCCAGTGCATACCTCCCACACAGTCCTGCCAGTTTGGCCCTAACAGGCAACCCTCCTCCATCCCATTTTCCAGCTGCTTTTCAAATGTCCTGGTTTCTGTTTCCTCCTTCCACTTTCCTGCTCTGTCCTCAGTTGGCTTCTATGGCCGCAAGCTTGAGTTCCAAAATTAATTTATATTCAGAATCTTTTATTTCTTAGTTGGCTCATTTGGTTTTGTTTTTTTCAAGATTTTCCTACATTCAGTCCCTAAATTCCAGGGTATCTCTGCTTAAAGCTTTTGGTGTTTTTGTTGCTTCTGATGACTAGTTCTAGCTTAAGATGGAGACCCTTAGGCTTTACTTTCTTGTCTCTCTGAGCTCACTTCCTGCCTCTTTCTTTCCAAAGTGGCTGCCTGAGCAATCCTGTTACAAGTTACTCTTGTTTTATATCCCAAAGCACAGCCTTAGGCTTTTGCACACTACTAGTACAAATACCAGATATTCTTGCTTTTTAAACTCAGGAATTGATAATTTGTTGTTGGACTCTGACTCCCGTCACCCTTCCCCATCAGCTATGTTGGGAGGTACTGATGAGAGGTGCAGTGAAGAGATCGAGAGGGCCACAAGTTGCCTGCCTGTTTGGGATAGGAAGCGATCAGGAACCAGATCCTTGGTGTTTCCAGGGATTGAGCCTTGGGTCTCCCTTATGGGTGCTCTCGCCACTGGGCGATATAACAGCTGAAGATGGCAGCTTTATTTTACACAATGCTCTGGTGTTAACCTGCTCTAGAAATGCTGGCCTGGAAACGTTCCTCTCCTTGGCCAGAGTTTGATCAGATGGAGCAAGAACCTTTTTCTTTTTTTGTAGAGCAGTAAGTGATGCCTGAGACCAGTCCTGTTTTTGGGGCATCTCAGGCAGAAAACCTCATAGACACTTCTCTGCCTTCTTGGCAGGAAAACGGCAGCTGTTCGGAAATGCAATGACTTCCAGTATTCTTGTTTGTGAACCCTGAAAATGTGCTACCCAAGGTAGCTGCCTTGGTTGGCCCAATGGCAGAGCTTGGGTCCTTGCTGCTCTGCTTTGTGTCCTCCCTGCTCCTTCTCCAGAGGTGAGGCATGACGTGCGTGGTTCCCCTCATTATTCTTGTACCAGAACAGTCTGGGTGGTGTGCTCCTCTGCCTTGGGATGATCAATCTCCTCTGATGCTGCCGATTTGCAATTTCCACCGCAGCTTCAGGAGTGCCATTGCCAGTTGCTAGGCGACTGTACATCACCCGCTCCCAGTCCTCGGGTGTTGCCATAGTAACAAGATGGTAGTTCCTGGCTTGTTGTTTTCTCCCCGCAATCCCATTAGGTGAAGCTGCGGAGAACCGGGGAGACGCGGCGGTGACGTCCAAAGTGGTCATTTGGGGGTTACCTTGATGTCCTTTTTTCCAAAATAGAATTGCTGCCAGTTGGTAGGGAAGATAGAGAGCACAGTCCTTGAAAACAACAATAATTTTGAATGAAGAAATAAAACGCAACCATTCAAGCACATTACAAAAGATAAGTCATCTAATTCGGCTTCTTTCCGCCTGGTACTAGTGGCAGGCGGGGGCTGCAAATCACCTCCAGACATTCATCTGTATTTTGAAAGAGCTCTCCAAGGTGCTGAAGCCTATCTTCCAAATAGGTTCAGCACTTTGGATATCACCTCGAAAGTGTGATCTCAAATTACAATGGGAGGATGCAGGTCACCGGAATGGAAGTGAAAGCTTCCAAACTTCTCCTAATTAAGAAGGAGAGGGAAGAAAGGACTGTGCGAGGCTGAAACTTTCCTTGGTTTGTCATGATAAACTTTGGTTTGTTGTGACGTCAACTAACACTCTTAGTGCCTATCACTTTTGAAGAGCAGAGAATGTCTTATAAACAAGTAATGAATAGCAGTGAATCATCATTACGTGGTCTTTCAGACTGAAATAACAATAAAGCTGAAATATCAGGGCTATTCAAAAAGCCTTTCAAATGTGGGCATACCTGGTGATTTGGTTTGATTGGACTATTCCATTATCTTCCAGGTTCTCCACAATCGCAAGAGGCCTTTACAGTATAATGGGCTGTTCATTGAACAGCTTATATTCTGAGTAATCCTGTTTAAAAATAGCTTTAATGCACTGTCGAAGGTTATTAGAGAGCAATGAGGTTTCCCTGCGCCAGTGAGGAGTTGGTTGAAGTGGTATGCTTTTGCTTGGCAAGCAACTGGAACACGGTTGCCCAACCCGTGCCCCTGATGCCAAAGGTAGGGGAGTGACATGGGGAAGCGATTTGGACCCTGATTTGGAGGGTTCCCACATGAGGACTCTAGTCCACTATGGGTGATTTTGCATAAAACAGGCTGAATACAGTTACTTCTTTATGGTGTGATGTAGCACTCGGTTCTGTTACCACTGCTCCAGTCGTTCCCAATTGAGTGCCTTCTAGATAACTCCCATCCTCCTCCCCATCCAGGATGACAGTTGAGAATAATAGTAGTGGCAGTCCAAAATATGTGAAGAGTATCAAGTTGGGAAGACAAAGCTGGAATGCCTTGTTGTCTTGCCATGGGCTACATTTCTATTACAATCTGTGTATTGTATATATGTTGTTGCAATTTATGGTTAATAAGAGACCTCCAAGACAGTGTGGTATTAACACGCCTGTTCATTAGGATAGTGGCTTCCTTGAGTGAGCCTTTCCATCCCTAACTGGTCTTCCTTTTTTCCTACCACCGTCCCTTTTACTGAGCATTATCACTTTTTCCACTGAGTCATGCTCTCAGTTTGTCAAATATAAGATAGCCTCTGTTGAGTCATCTTTGCTTTCTGAGGGAATTCAAGCTTGATTTACTCTCGGACTTGTTCCTTTGCCTTTTTTTGGCAGTCCTTGGCAGAACTCTCCTCCGGCACTTTAAATATATTCTCTCTGGAATTTCAAATGAATTGATTTCCTTCCTGTCAGCCTTCTTTGCCACCCGGCTTTCACACACAGCAAGAGGAAATACTGTGGGTGATTTCGGCCTTTCATATTCAGTGATACATCTTTACACTCGAGGCTCTTGTCTTGTTCCTTCACAGCTGCCCTTCCAAGTCCTAGCCCTTTTTCTTGGCTGCAGTCTCCATTTTGTTTCATGACTGAGCCAAGGTATAGAACCTTTAAACTATGTTGATGTCTTCATTGCACACTTTAATATTATGTAAGTCGTCAGTGGCACAGCAGGTTAAACCACTAAGCTGCAGAACATGCTGATTAGAAGCTCGGCGGTTCGAATCTGCAGATGGGATGAGCTTACCTTGTTAGCCCCAGCTTCTGCCAACCTAGCAGTTGAAAAAATTACAAATGTGAGTAGATCAATAGGTTCTGCTTCGGCGGGAAGGTAACAGTGCTCCACATGACCTTGGAGGCATCTACGGACAATGCTGGCTCTTTGGCTTACAAATGGAGATGAGCACCACCTCCTGGGTCGGACACGACTAGACTTAACGTCAA